ATAAATAACTAAATAAATGAGTAAATAAATAAATAAATAAATAAATTGGCAATTTGTAAATACTTTAGGAAAGAAATTGAAAAAGGCCACAGGAGAGCACCGTTCAAAAACATTTCCTATTCAAAAAATTAGTCTGGCCATTCAGCGCGGCAATGCCGCTAGTATTATGGGCACTTTCCCTTCTACAATATCTTTAGATGAAATTTTCTTCCTCTCTTAAATCTTGAAACCTTTTTTTTTATTAAATACATGTAAGTTATATTATATATGAAATTCTAGTGACTTTAATAAATAAATAAATAAATACATAAATGAGTAAATAAATAAATAAATAAATCTTCCAAAGAAGCAGACCCAGAATTGAACCTTCGAGGGCGCCTCTGTAATCTACATTATGTGTTTTCCAATTAATGGCAGTTCGACTTATTCTAAAGGTAGCTAGATACTCTTAACGTGACTACCAAAGATAATCACAGCAACAAGATGGACGATTCAGTCACAGTTGATGACTAAAAGAGCGCAGTCGTTCTGACCTTCTCTGATTCTTTCTTGGAAATCAGCAGGATCTCGGCCACCTTGGATCTCTCCATTGCTACCATACCTAAAAACACCTGGAATTTAAAACTTGGTTGAGATGACTCATCGAAAGTGCCTGACAAGCTTGTAAGATGGAAACATGATGGTTAGATCCGTTACTGAGGTTTGGAAAAACTTCAAGTTACCCGTCGCCATCAACAGATTCTTCCATCTCCCAGTTCAGGTACGACTACCTCCGTGGAGAAGAAAAACAACTCATCCAAAATATTGACCAGGATTCGCCTTGTTGAGAACTGCATTCGTGCTTAACAGATTCGCATCATTATCACATGCGCTAAATAACCCATAGATTTTTAACACATTTATCTCAAAGGTCACCGCCATATCTCCCAAACAAACTTTTAATGTGCTGTTCTATTATTATTGTTCAAACATGGCCAATGAACAGTCGTACTTGGAGACCAAAGCGAAAAATCCTCCCGTCTTGCGTAAGTAGCAAAACCGGCGCAAGAATTCCATTAACATTTTCAGGCAAACGGTACGGAACAAGACACACTCAGGCCGTCTTACTCTTTCTCATAACGGCCATCGAGTTTGGAACCCGAATTAATCTACCCGTCGCCATCGTCGCGATGACGACGACCAACTCCACCTCAAACCCCGACGTACCGGTAAATAACGACGGATGTTAACCTATAATTAGCGCGCTTCTATAGACGTACATCTGGAGCTGGGCCGATCATAGCGTGGTGCTATCATCGTACTATTGGGGTTATGTGCCACCGGGTCTAATCGCCGGTCATTTGGTAGCGCGATTTGGCGCGAAATGGTTTTTGGCACTGTCGGGACTGGGAGGTGCATTATGCGCGATTCTAATTCCTGTCCTGGCCCCTTTCGGCTCCTGGACGGTGATGCTATGTAGATTGGGCCAGGGTGTTTGCCATGGGCTTTTATGTCCGTGTTGTCATAGTATGCTAGCGAAATGGGTTCCTAAATGCGAAAGAGCGCGTTTATCTGCATTTGTCTACGGGGGTAAGTGGTTGCTGCTGTTGTGCAGCGTCATCAACTGATGTTACAGGAGGATCGCTGGGGATGGTGTTGTCGTTTGCTCTGAGTGGGTGGATGTGCGGTAGTTGGTTAGGCTGGCCGCTTAGCTTTTACGCGCATGGGTTGGTTGGACTGATCTGGTCCATGGTTTGGATTTTTGTTGGTAAAGGAAGCCCTGCTGAGCATAAGGGAATTAGTGGTGAAGAACGCATGTACATTGAAGCCTCAATAGGCACTGGAGAACCAATACAAGTTACTTCAACTCCATGGAGTTCAATCTTCAAGTCATTTCCAATGTGGGCGATATTGATCGGTAGCTTTGGACAAGTATGGGTCTTGACCACTTTGATGACTAACATCCCAACGTATATAGCAAATGTCCTACGTTTCCAAATTGAGGAGGTATTACCCACCTAACTAATATACTTGAATTAACACTATTTTCAGAATGGACTAATCTCTGGCGGTCCATTTCTACTTTTCTGGATTTGTAGCTTCGTTTGGAGCTACCTCATTGACTTTATCATAACACGCCGAGCTGTGTCTACTGGTACGGCACGGAAGATTGCGACGGGAGTGTGTAAGGTCCTCGGACTTGCATCTTTAGCTATTGGCTTTACTTTCAGCGCTGTACACCCCAGGGATCGGTCTTCTTGTGATCGGGTTAATAAGCGGTTTAAATGTTGATGTTACCATCACAACTTTAGTCATCATGTTTGTTTCTGTTGGGATTTCATCAGGTTTCTTAAGTGGACTTCAAGTAAACCACATCGACTTGTCACCCATACACGCGAGCACGCTAGTTGGACTTACAAACGGTGCCGCAAATATTCTCTCGATAGTCGCACCGCTAATTGTACACTTAATCGTCGTGGAAGCTACCAATCCCGCACAATGGGCGGTGTTATTCTATATTGCATCGGCCATATGCGTGACTTGCACGACCTTCTATGTCGTTTTTGCTTCGGGTGAAATTCAATCGTGGAACGGCCACCAAATTGACTGTATAAGTACTCAAAAAGAGCAAGCGAGAATTTTAGACGAAGCAGTTGGGTTGGAGGATGTTCAGCTAATGACTTAAGTTATTTGAAATTGTTTGTATTTACGACGTTTGGATAAAGTAACCGAACTATAATTTTATGAAACTTGAAAATTGTCCCCTTCCTTATACTACTCCGTTCCATTCGGATTTCCAATGGTGGAAGCCCTGCCCTGCTGCAGATTTATGCTTTGCGATTTCTGTCCAACGCTTTCCAAAGTCTCCAATCATGAAGCGATTTATCCTTTAGGAACGGGAAAAGTCATACGTGGACAAACCAACCGCTCTTTGGTGAATAACGTAGGAATAACGAAGTTATAATTTTGAATCCTTGCCACGGCCGTCTGAATTCAAAAGTGCGCCCTCTGCCAATATCTGCAATCAGATAAAAACACAAAACAAAAGAAACAGAGACAAAAGATTACGGCACGAGCGCATACTTTTTCTAACAAAACAGCAACGCACACGTTAAAGACCAACAAAGGGGAAAGTACAGAAAGGTACATTCAGATGACCTCTAGTGGAAGAATAAGAAACTATGAAATGGCGTTTTCTGAAATAGATGGTTTCACTATGGTACAAAGTATTGCCCTTCTCAAAGGGATGTTCCCATAAAACTGGATAATAGAATACTAAACATGAATTTCCGGAAGGAATATCGCTGAAAAAGTCTCACAATATTCCATCGAAACTGACTCAATATACTCTCGCTTTCGAAGTGGAATTTTTAAATGATCCTAACTGTCACCGGCAAGTCCGCTGGATCTTTTATAATTTTTTGATGGTAACTCTTCCATACTTATAATTTGCGGGCTTTGCTCGAATTTCAGCCTTCTATTTGAACTGACGGACGGCTTTGGTGCTCGTTTCAATTACGGTTCCACGGAGGCTCAAATGCAAATTGAAAGAATGTCGGTCCCCTGTTGACATGTTCACGTTTAGTGCCCAAAAAACGGACCCTGATCCTTAATTTCTCATCTTTAATCGTGAACCAATAGACTGCGCCTACTTGAGCCAATCACGCACATATAAAAGCCATCAATCACCAGATTTCAAAATGGCCGAGTTCGTTGTTCTCACTCTACTCCATGAGATCGTGCCAAACAAATCTGAATCAACTGTTTTTGTCATGTAGAATACATTGAGATTGTCTTACCTCCAGTCTGATTGGCCCCAGTAACTTTACCCAAGCACTTAACTGCTCACGACCCATCCGGTAAGAATTGACCCACAATTTTTTAAGAATTAAATAACCTTAAAATTTTGAAAATATTCTTCTGGAAAAACACTGCCACGTGACTTCGGACCCACCACCAAAGGTGCTACCCGGGTCGGTGTAAAACTGGAGTCTGGAATGTAGGCCGGGGGGTTACCGAATGGAGGTCAACACGTTCAGCCCATGCGGGATCGGACGGGATATTCCCGGCTCTTCTGCAGAAGGACTTGTAACCGCTGCTCTTCCATTTATTACACCTCCTTTAGAGCCTCTCAGGCTTTAGCATTGATGGATTCGCGCCATGCTCGGAAGCAGGGTCATTATATCCTTAATTGGACGACGGACGGACGGAGGTGAGCTGCTCGATCACTAGAGGTTTTCCGCAGGGTGGAGTGTTGTCTCCACTGCTGTGGAATCCTCTGCACTCTGAGCGAGGACGAAGCGTATACACAGGAATGCGCCGGTGATCGCGCGATCTTCTTAACTGGTGGATAGGTGGTAGTAGCCACGCTCCCTCCCCCCACCCGTTAATTAAAAAAAGACCGAGTTCGTTCTATTTATCTTGATGGATTCACTCTTCCAATACGGCGACTGCGTCTGACCAGGTGACTGAGATATTCGAGAGTTATCATAGACTTCCGCCTGACCTGGAAAGGGTACATTGAGCGATTAAGCAAAAAGTCCCCTGCATGTGTATGGGCACGTAGAAGGGCTTTTAGCTGTATGTACATGGAGCCTGAACTCTCGACTGGTATATTAATTTTACACTGTAGTGATGAGGCCAATAATACTGTACTACTGGTGGGCTACTATGAGCAGGACAACGGCTAGGAAAGGTTTTATTTTATTTTATTTTATTTTATTTTATTTTATTTTATTTTATTTTATTTTATTTTATTTTATTTTATTTTATTTTATTTTATTTTATTTTATTTTATTTTATTTTATTTTATTTTATTTTATTTTATTTTATTTTATTTTATTTTATTTTATTTTATTTTATTTTGCCTTTATTTTTGAGTGGGCGGGGTTTCAGCCAAGGCTGCTCTATCAAACCAACCCACTATACATTTACAAATATCCATGCCCGAACCTGGATTCGAACCAGGGACCCTTAGCACCACAGTCCTGCTTTAACTGAACTGCGCCACACGGGCCGGCTTCGGAGACTCACGTACCTAGGAGTCACTGGAGCTATTGAAATCAAACCAACGTTGGTCATAGGGGCACTTCTGAGATTAGAGCCTTACACTTAGCTGTGGAGGCAGAGTCTCGGAAGGGTTCAATACGGCTAAACGATTGGGTTAGGAGGAGTGGGAGGATCGAGGCAGCCTTAGGCACGGGCGGATCCGAGAGGAACACCTCAGATCCGATACCCTCCTCACAAGAAGGGATGTGATCCGGGGTGTCTTACTAACACCGAGGAGTTACAACGTGCCTCTCCCGGATCGGGAGCAATGGCCGAACTCAGATTTCCCGTTCTTGAAACCTAAGGTCCATGTGGTTTATGGACCGGTTTCTAACGGAAAGGGGAACGGGCATGGGTCGCGAAGGCAGTGGTGTGGTCTTTCGCCGGGCCCGAGCCTACCCTAAAAAAGCCAGGATCAAGGTGATCAGTCAATTCCAGGGTGAGTGGCAACTAGCAGCCGGACTCAGACAGCTTATTTAACAAGGCCCCTTTGGCAAATGTGAGTCTTCCAAGCGTATAAAACTGAAGAGAAACCAGATTAAGAAGATTACCAGTGGCCTTAAGGGGCGCTGGATGGTCAACTATCAGTTACACAACATTGGGCTTCTAGGAAAGCCCACGTGCAGATTCTGTGACGAGGCAGTAGAAACAACCGAACATGTGGTTTGTCACTAGAACGCCTTGATCACAGACAGACATCAGATCTATAGTATTAGATCCTTGGCGACAGTTATCTGGAACCTGGGAGGGTGAACCAACTTACGCTAAACACTAAACAGGGTACTATCCTTTCTTGAGAAGAACGGGCTTCGAACGGCTTTGGTGTTCCTAAGTGCTGGCTGGTCGGCCTCCCCTATGAATAGAATAGAATAGAAGCAATCCAATGAATTCTCTTTATTATTGTTAATACCCTACGCTCCTGTGTAATGTAGCAATTGGGCGCTTAAGGCTTAGAAACATTTGGTTTTGGATTTACAAACTTGCGAGTATAGGAAATTTTATACTGGTACCGCTACATAGTGAAAAATAACGAAACTAAAATGCGAAAGAATGAAGCGCTTTCAGATAGCAGTGAGTGTGCCGGTTCTAATGACCGCTCTTCCGGAGCATGAGGAGCAAACTTTCTGCTATAATACCCTTACTTGCATCAAAAACGTAGCCGAACCTTGTTTTTTTTTTAACTCGGCGAGTATATTAGGAAAATTGGGTGGGAGAGAGTGATTCTCCGCTGAAAGTTTCACAACCAAATTCGTGTAATCGAGATAGGTATACGCAAGATTTAACATCTGCGTAGTTGTACGTGGTATTTTTACTGCAAAAGTTGAAGTTAATTGCTAGAAAGTTGCCATTTTGACAAAATTACAGGCCGTGTGTGCTTTTAAATCCACTGTTGAGTTGCCATTACGAGTAAATAAATAAACTAAGGTGCAAATCTATGCAAACGGGAAATTAATTTAGTTGTGCAGAGGAATCGACCGGCTGGCTGAATTATTTTCAATCGTGAACAAATGTATGAAATGTACGTGAGTGAAGATTTTCGTCTTATCGCGGGATTGTTAGATGTTAATCCCGCGGGATCCCGGTATTTGCGGAATCCCGCAAAACTAAATAAATTGCCAAATAAGCAATTCTGTGCGGTTAACTTCTGTATTAAAATAAATCGCTAATTATCACAATATTTAACAAAAAAGTTCCTTCAGACTAACTTAGAACTCAAAAAAAACCTCACCTGTAAAGCACAAAAAGGTGAACTTCTAAAGTGCCTCAAAAATCATAGTATATTTTTAACAAAAAAAGTTTAACAATTATTTAAAAAATAACTTCTTTGTTATGCGTTTCATTAACAAAGTAAACAGAGTCGTCCCCTTGGTCGACAAATTCCTCAGTCCCGCGGGATCCCGCTCCATTTATGTGCGGATCCCGCGATCCCGGTATTGCATTCCCTAGATTCGCGTGATCGTGTTTAAGTAAGTTTTTCCACGAAATCATTGGGGCAAACGTACAGATCGTTTCATTGCGTTCATACTTGAAATGGTTAGTTAAGATAAAAAACAAGTGTGTTAACCCAATTTGTGCGCAGTTTCTAGAATCTGGATTAAACGATTACCGGTAAAAAGTTTAAAGACGAATAATTAGTGTTTTGCTAGCTTTTAAAACCCTAACTATAAAAATGGCAGCGAGTGGGGCGGCCGGAACCTCACCAATCGCTCCGATCAATGTATTACACGGCTATTATTTTGTCCACAACTGTATTTCTGGTCTGCTTCTTACAAGGTGATACGTAATTCAATAAATATCTACTTTATTGCCAACAAGGCACTTCCAAGAGCTTTCAAATTCTATGTAGACATTGATCGGCGCACCTTCCCGTAATCCACCACTGAGTTTTTTAATGCCCGAACCTCCCAGCACACGAGTTTATTATTTTCTTATTACGACTGTTTGCTCTGTTAACCCAAAATCTGAACTAACCTCGCTATATCGTTGCCCAAGACCAAATGCATAGGTACTACAAATCTCCTCGTAAGGAACCATTTTGTCTTTCCTGATTAACTAACACCCACAAAATGGTTTCTTGTCTTTGAAACACGGCCAATCTTACTTGTTGATTCGCTTTATTCATTTTTCCACTAACAATTAAACAAAAGCTAAGGTAATAAATCAAATCCCACGTAGTTCTGAAATATGCCGATTCTGCATT